ACCACAGGAAGGTGCAACCGCTTTTCTCTCTTTTTTACTAGCAAGCGTGCTGAAAGTGTGACAAACCTTCCTGGTTAGCCCGGTGAGAGTAGTAGCTAGTTCAAAACAAAATGAGACGTGCTTTTGTTTTGGTCTAGGGTTTCCAGCCTTCCCAGGTAGAGGGCTGTAGTCTGGGGAATAGCCCATTCCCCAGAGCAGGTACTATGGGGCCCTCCCCAGAGAGGGCAGTGGGGCCTGCGGCTGGGGGCCCATGAGGTACTGAGTCCTTTCCCAAGACCTTTCAACCAGCATAGCACTACCTTCGGTTGCCCAGAAGAGGCTTGAAGTTGCAGGAGGACTGGGTAGGGGCAGGTTACCTGGAATCCCAGCCCACCTGCTGCTGGCTTGCCTTGAGTTTCCACACTCATTTAGGTGGTTGTGAGCATATGGTGGAGGCCTCGGCTTCCCTCAGAAGCAGTGGTCTGTGAGGCTGCCCTAGAGGGGGAGGACGTCAAGTCTTAGCCATGAAGGCTGACCACTTCTGAACTGCCAGAGAAGATAGACTATCTGGGGCTGAGTCCCCTCTCCAGGCCCTTGCCTCCCTAATGGAGACCCTGGCTGTCTGCACTTTCCTCTGAACACCCCCACCCCCAATCTGCACCACAGGTGGCAGCCTGAGGGCCCTTCCTCCTGGAGATGTGAGTAAATAGAGCTGAGCCTGCCCTGCCCTGCCCTGGGGCTACAAGCCACTTGCTTGTAAACACTAGAGAGATTGTTTGGCCATTGTTTGGTCCACTTGGCCGTGCTTTTCCCGTTGGTGGCCTGTGTTGAAAACAGATTTCAAATAGGACCCTGGATTTTTGGCCCCTGTTTCTCAGTGGGTCCAAGCTCCTCCCCCAAGGCCCTGCCACCTGCCCTAGCTGGCCTCAGTTACACTGTTGCTGTCCTCTGGCCCTGGTCCTCTAGGCACTTAAGTTGGCAGCCCCAGATCCATTTAGAAATATCAGTCCAGCAGTGCTGTGGAAGTGGAAGGCACGTGCTTCCCCAAGTGGAGCCAGTCCTTGTGTTTCTGGTGCCTCTAGTTCAGATAAACTTGTCACCAACCACCAGTGCAGTGGTCTGCTGTCACCCTGTGGGGCAGCACTGTCACACAACCCCGCCCAGGCAGAGGCTTCTTGCCCCTAGTGTCTTGTCACCAGGAAGGACTCATGGAAGGTGGGCCGGGACTGTACCCCTTCCCAGGGGATTGGAGAAGGCCTGGCATTGGTGGGAGGGACGAGTTTCTAGGCCATTCACGAATGTGTCCAAAGCAGAACGGACTTGGCAGTCTCCGGGGTACTGGCGGAACCCGGGGAGTCTGGCACTTCCAATTTCTCCTTGTCATTACTGTGGCTGTTTCTGCCTCCTCCTGGCAGAAAGGCTGGGTGGCCAGCGGTGAGATTATAGGGCTGCCTAGGATAGGCAGGCCACTTTTGTCCAGAGCAGGACCTCAGCTCAGGTCCCTGGAGTCCCTGAATTGGGTCCCTTCAGCCTGAATGAGGAGCACAGAGGGAGCTGAGTTCCTCTTTGCTCAGGCCCTGATCTCGGCCTTGACCCTAGCCAAGAGAGGGCATGCTCAGCATTCATGTGGAGATCCCTGCCAAGAAGTGGGTCCCTCTGAGCAGCTGTGGCATCTCTGTCAAACAAGTGTTTGTGGAACCTGGCCAGGCGGCCGGCCGTACGCCAGGTAGAGAGAGGATACCAGCCAACGCTGTAGACAGCACAGTCCCCAGAGGACGCTCAGTGGCTCAAAAGGGGCCAGCCTCTACCCCTATGAAATCACACAGCCCAAGAGCAGAGGTGGCCGAGGTCCTGGCCAGCTTCCCAGGCCTCACCAGGATCACGGTGTCCTAGAAAGGCAGGGATTGAGCTGGTGGGGCAGCTTGTGAAGTCAGGGAGCCTGATGGGATCAGCCCTGAGTGTAGGTAGAAGATCCCAGGATGCCCCCATCAGCAGGCAGCTGCAGGAGGTTATCTGCCAGCCCAGTGTTCCCAGCCCCAGTCCTGGCTCTCCACCATTAAAAATGTCTATAGATCCCCCTTCTCCAGGCCTGGCATCCCCTTTGTAAGCTCCATATGTTGCAGGGCTCCCTGATCATCGTCTGGGTGGGTCCTTGCATGTCACTTTCTTCGAGGGAATAAGGCTCCCCTCTGCTGCAACACAACCCTGGAGTTGGAAAGGGCCCTGCACTTCCTGGATCCTTAGTGCTGGGAAGGAGGCGCTAGGGAGAGGGAACCTTGGGCTCTCAGAGTGTGGGGTCTGATTGGGCTGGGGTAGGTCCGGTAGTACCAGAGGGGCACTCCTCTGGAGCTTCTTCCCCGCAAGGCCAGGAATCCCAAGAGCAGTCTCTCCAGGTGTGGTGTGTCGTCATGCATACTTGTGGGGCAAGTTAAAGGGCAGAGTCCTTGACCGCACCCCAGGACCTTAAGACAGACACTGTGGGCCGGTTCCTAATACGCTCTCGCCTGGTTTACAAAGCGTGGCTTCCAGGGTTTAGGAGCTGTAGAAGATGATGTGGATGTAGAAACAAGTAACCACCCATGCTTTGCACTGTCTGAGGACTTCTGCCATCGCCTGGGATTCTGTATGACACCAAGTAAGGACTGCTCCTAGGTCTCTGGGGGTGACACCATTCAGAACACAGGGCCAAGGGGATTCCCAGGGGATCCTGTGGGTGAGAACCTGTTCCTGAGATCTTGGGGATGCCATGAGTCGGGCCCTGTCCACAGTTCAGTCCTTGTCTGCTCACCCTTGGCCAGGATGGTTTAGTTGGGTATGAGTGTGTCTGCTCTGGGTACCCAGAGATCTATCTGGTCTAAGCCTGTCTAGGAGTGGGAAAGTGAACTGTGGGGTCTCAGGTCTGTAGGGGTCTCCCAGGAAGAGGGGAGGTGTACTCAGGTGTGTTCGCTCTGCCTGGGACACACTGGCCTCTCTGGGTGGCAGGGGTGCTGTTGAAGCGGCTGAACCTTCCTGCTTTCAAGTCCTTCCCTGCTGTTACCACAAGCTCCCAGGGAGGTTTGGAAAAGCTGGGCCAAGGGAAGCAACCTCAGCTTGTTTCAGCTGGAGCAACAGGGCCTGTGGGAGCCAGCCAAGCCCCCGTCTAGCTGGCTGTTTTCATTCTGGCTCTTTGAGAATATCGGGCCTGGCCCAGCTGGACTAATTAGCACTGCTGCCTTCCCCCCCCCCCCCCCCCCA